TGGAACTGCCTACAGGGTCTCCAAGGCTGTCAGTCTTGTCAAGCAGACTGCCTCAGCTTTCTCCCATGGAGAGGCTGGTTGGTTCTACCCACTGACTGTTTGGTTAACAGCTGAATACCTTAAGCACTGCACCACCAGCTACAGGCAGTCATTAAATATGGTGAGGGGCACCCTGCATGGCAGAGCCTTGCCCTGGCACATTCTCAGACACAGCCTGGAGAGGAGGTTTGCCTGAGGTGGACTCTTGGTGGTCCTCGCCTCTGGGCCCTGGTCTGCACTCCTTCCAGGAAGCAGCAGAGCTGGTCCAGAGACCAGGGAGAGGACCTTTCTCAGAAGAACTGCTCCAGCATGTTGCTGTCTCAGGCCAGGACTCACTTCTGTCTCTGAGGGACCCGTGCAGCCCTGAGAACCTGGGGGTGAGCCAGAGTGGCTTTGTGATGTCCTCTCCACCCCAAATGCAAGCAGATGTCTGGCAGGCAGTTCCTCCTTGAGCTCAGAGGTGCATGGAGGACAAGGGTGTGGGGAGTGCTGTCCCTGACCGGAGAACAGGACCAGTAGAGGGGCCCAGGGAGTGGAGAGAAGAGCTGTGTTTGGAGGCCCAGCAGGGAGGCCTCCCCTGGCTGATGTGGAGTTTGTGGGCTGCAATGAGGACAGAGACTAGCCTCTGCAGTGTCAGGGGGCCTGTGAGGACGGGAAGAGAATCAGATACCCGGCCCTCTCCTGGATCTGCCACTTCCTGCCTCAGGGCCTTTGCACCAGCTGGTCTTTCTGCCCAGCTCCTCCCCATGGTGCTCAGGGTGGCTGATTCCTCTTCTTTCAGCTCTCATTGGCATGTCACTGCCTCCAAGAAGCCTTCCCTGACCACTCTTGGTAAAGAACCTCCCTAATTACTCACTGGCACAGCCTTGATTTGATTTTCTTCATTGCTAAGTTTAACACTGTCTCCAGTTCAGGTGGCTTATTTCTGTCTTCTCATGCTGATGCCCTGCATCTGATTCCTACCAGGTACTGGGGAAGTGTGTGTATAGCAGGTGCCCTGTAAAGTGGACGGACATAGTCCCCACCAGCCCAGTCCCTGCCGCCTAGGACCCACGCTGCAGAGGGGAGGCAGACAAAACCATGCACTCGGCACCCAGTAAGCCTCTTGGACAACTGGCCCATTTCACAAGTGTGGGTACTGGCTCCGAGGGTGCAGCCCAGTAGCAGAGTGACCCTGGGATCTTACCCAGTTGAGATCCAGGGCCCATCGAGGCGTGGGGGCAGCAGTGTGGTGTAGTGGGCTCCATCCGGCAAGGGTTGCTGACAGCGCGGCTCCCGGCGCAGGTGGCCGCTCTCTGCCACTGCCTGTCCCGTGAGAGCTGCAAACCAGTCACAGCTGGGTTAACCATCCTGTTGCATCTTGGGAACTCCTGCCTGCCCTGCCCACCCTCCCAAGCCTGCCTGGACCATAGCGCTGCTCTACCTCCATGCAGGCTCCCCAGGTGGGGAGCCGAGAACATCTGTCCCTGAAACCCTTCACACCCAGCCCCCTGACCCAACTCCTGGACTCTCGGATTATGACACTTCTGGCCTCTAGGCCCAGATGGGCCCGGATTCCCAGGACAGAAAGCCTCTGGATATTAGCTCCTGTGAACTAGACTCCTAGACACCTAGATCTTTTGTAGACCCGCCTGCTGAGCTGGGCACCTCTGGTGTGGGGCTGAAGAGACCCTGACTCCAGGATAAGTTCCCTTTAGGCTCAGACCTGAGGAGCTGGGGATGTGGACCTGACCCTTCTCCGGAGCAAAGCATCTCCCATGAGAGGAAGCCCACTTCTGTTTGGAGCCAGGCTAGACCTGCCATCCCCCCTGGAGGCCACTGGCCCACCTCAAGGCTGCCTGTGCTCTCCATGTCTATGTCTGTGGCACCCAGTGTAGGGCTGGCATGAGGAGGTGCTCAGTGACCCACAATGAGTGGATAAGGTGCCAGTGGGTGCCCAGGGCAGTGCCAAGCCAGGAGATGGGGACCATGCCTGGGGCTTGCCTCCATGCCTGAGGCTCCAGGGATGACCAGAGGCTCCAGGAGGAAGGTGAGAGTGGGGTGGACTTGAGCCACCAGGCAGCGCTCGAGGCTCTGCGTCCTCATGATTGACCCCAGATGTGCTCGGCCAAGCCAGGGCGTGGGACGTTTGCAGCCTCTTCTATGAGCTGCTCAGAGGCATGCGCGCCAAGACCTTCAGCTGCTGAAGAGCAGCAATTCCCCTGAAACGTCATCTCCACTCAGAGGGGAGGACTTGAGGCTGTGCAGATGGCGGATTCTGGGGAAGCTGTGTACTTGTGGCGTCCAAGCATTACGGCCACGGGCTTCTCATGGGGCCCGAACCCAGGGCCCGGTGGCCAGGGTGTTCTGGCCCAGGCCCCCCTGAGCCTGGGCTGATGTGGGCCAGGAAGACAGAGCTTCAGGGGCAGGCCAGGGAGCCAGAGCACTGTGTGCCTCAGCCTGGAGCCCTGACACTGTTGGTGGGCCAGACACTAAAGGAATTGAGTAAAATATTCTGCCCGTCCCTTTGCATGTCCACAGCTTCCCATCCAGGCTTAGGATGGCCCAGCATGGGAGGTCAGGGTGTCCTCACTTCTCTGGAGGCCAGGGCTTGCATCTTCGGGTTACCAGTGTCCAGTGGAGAAAACAGAAGCAATGCTGACAAGCGAGACGATGGCAGTTCCTGTTAACTGAGCATCAGCTCTGTGCGATTTTACACTGCATCTCATGTGGTCTTTGCAGCAGCCCCAGGAGATGGGCTCTCACGAGTCTTCATCTTACAGAGAACAGGCACAGGGGCAGGTGCTGTGGGAACGAGACACAGCCATGACCTGAGCCCTGGACACAAGACTCTGGAACATAACTCTTGACTGCTTAACCCAGCGCCATATTGAATCCCCAAGCAGGGTGGGTGCAAGGGGCTGAGTGGGAGACTTGGCAGGGCACACAACAGACATCCACTGAATGAATCAATGGAGAGATGAATGGATGGATGGGTGGAGGGGTTAGTGAGTGGATAGCTGGATGGATGGCTGGAAGGATGGATGGGAGGATGGATGGGTGGTTGGGTGAATGGACGGGTGGATGGGAGGATGGATAAATTGCGTGGATGGATGGATGGATGGATGGATGGATGGATGGTGGATGAGTAGATGTATAGATAGATGGATGGAAAGAAGGATGGATGGATGGATGGATGAGTGGGTGGATGGAGGATGGATGAATGAGTGGATGGATGGAAAGATGGATAGATGGATGGATGGATGCATAGATGGATGGATAAATGGGTGGGTGGTGGATGGATGGATGGAAGGAAGGATGGATGGATGGGTGGATGAGTGGATGGATGGATGAGTGAATGGCTGGATGGCTAGAGGATGGATGAATGAGTGGATGGATGGATAGATGGATTGATGAGTGGATGGATGGATGGATGAGTGGATGGATGGATGAGGGTATCAATGAGTTGATAAATGGATGAATGAGTCAAACACTGGTGTGACATTGGGTCTCCACTATATTCTTAGTTTATATACAGCAAATCATTGGCTTCAATGGCCAAAGAGGAGAAATGTGAGCAACAGACCCACCACCAGGGCCAGGTTTCCTCACACTGGTCATGTGGACACTTGGGCTACTCTGTGGGCTCCCAGGGCCACTCTGCAGAGTGAATAAAATGTCCATGAGGGTTTTGAAAGAGAGAAGCTGGTAGTGGACCTGCATTAACTTGGGTACCTCCATTTACAGGGAACTGAGCAGGACATGTAGTAGGTGGGTGGGTGGGCTTCTAAGCTGGGCCAAAGTCCCAGCACCGCCCTCCCCCTGCCAGGAGTCCTGAGTTGGGATGTAAGCACATCAGTGTTGACACGGCACACACGTCAGTGCTTCTGCACTTGACCTTGTCAGAGGACACTGGGTCCTGGCATGCAATTCTGCAGGTTAATGTGAACACTGTCAGTGAAGGAAACTGCCCACAAGTACTGATTTGGGGAATGGAATGGAAGCAATGGGGAGGAGGTTCCCAAGGCTCGATGTTATCTGCCTGGTATGTTTCCGTGTCACAGTGCCCTAGTGACTGGGCCCTGGACGTGATATTGGCATCATTTCCACAAACCTCAGTTTCTAGAGGAGATCTTTTCTGTTCCGGGGAAAACAAGCCTTTTCCTGCATCTTCTTCCTGATGACAGTGAGAAGACACAGCCCACGATGCTCAATTTTGTTTGGCCCAAGTGCCTTTTAGTTTGTCTTGTTTTTCAGTGAGAAGTTAGGATGTAATTAAGTCAAGAGACTAAAAGCAGTAGTTAAGCCTCACTGTCCCCCAGACACGTACACACAGACAGAGAACTGGACAAAGTGATGGAGCCGGGCCAGCCACTGCTCCTTGGCCACTCATGTGGCCTCCCCCTCAAGGTTGCAGAAATTAAACCAAGCCATTAGAAATGGTTCTATGAGGTGTTCTGTCAGAGCCTTGGACATCACCTTAGCTCCTCCCCTCTCCCTCTCCTTCCCCAGCCCCACCACAGAGAAGTCTTCGTGGAGAAGGCACCGATGGAGCAGATGGGACTGCGGCCTGGGGTTTGCAACTTTTCGCAGGGGCCTGATAGAGGGAGTTCAGTGCGTGGGCCACATGGATTTTCATCAACTAAGGATTTTTAATTAACAGTGGTGTCCACTTACTGCTGTCCGTTCTTCACTGTTTACCTACTAATTACAAATTATGCTGCTTTTGCACTCATACAGGCAGGGACATTGGAAATTAGATTGCGTCGTTCAAATTTCCTGCCGAATGAAATCCAGAGTGCCTCATTTCTCAGCAAATGCTACTAGGGCTTAAAATACGACCTGCTTCAGCCTGGTGTGTGATGGTGACTCAGAGTTCCAGGACGAACACCACATGGAACCGGCTCGGGGCCTTCGGGGTGCCGTGTGCTGGCTGACCCCCCATGCTGTGTGCCAGGCCCTCCGCCAAGGTTATCCTGAGATGCTTATGGCAGCGCCGGGCCTCGACTAGCTCCGGCTTCAGCATGTTAAATGCAACTCCGGGGAGCATCGGTGGCGGTCCAGAGCTGGCCACCACTGATGAGCCAGTCGCACATGCCCCCTCCCCCCCACCGCCCAGCCCATTTCTTTTGCTGATGCCTCCAGTTTGCAGATGAGGAAACTGAAGTTGAGAGAGGCAATGGGACTGACCGGGCCAGTGTCAGCAGCTTCTTATCCATTTTATTTACTGTGATAATAAACCACACATAACATACCCTGCAACTGTTGCCCTTAAACCAAAACTGCCCCCTGAAGTCTTCTTAAAACCAAGCAATAGTCTTTATGGGATCAAACTGACAACAGCAACTCATAAGTTTGGGAACTTTAGAGGGCAGTGAGTTTTTGTTAATGGTGGAAGGAACACTTTGGAAAAGGAGAGTGAAAATAGTTGCACAACTTAGGGATGTCACCAAGGTCACTGAAGTGTACCTGGAGACGTTGTTGAGTTGCTATATGCTCTGCTGTGCATATTGTCAACAACACCAACCAAATAAATTTAGAAATACACGTAACGTAAGTTCCCTAATTTAACCATTTGAAAGGCTAAGTTCAAGGGCATGTACAACATCCACAAAGTGGGGTGAGCGTCACAGCTGGGTAGTTCCCAAGCATTGTCACCCCACCCCAAAGAAGTCTCCCCTGGTCAGCAGCCACTCCCCTACCTCCCAGCCCCTCTGGTTGTTGCCATTAGGTGGCATCAAGTCATCTCTGACTCATAGCGACCCTGAGTACATGCAGTGTAGTAAATGACTTAGTGTGGCTTTTCTACCCATAAGTCTTTGTAAACTCCGAGGTGGAATTTGCCATGAACAACTGAGGAGCTCCTGATTGCTAAAGTTGTCCACTTGGGGTATTTCTGTTGGGCGTGACACTAAACAACGTTCTGGGAGGTTTTCACTCTCTCTCAGGTGGTTAGAATTCTGATGTTATGATTGGTGGGTTTGGCCACTCTGCCGGGCTCAAAAGGATACCTCCTAGAGGCAGAACTCTCTCTGACTGCTGGCTGAGGAAGACGTGCTGCTGAAAGAGACAGGCGCTCCTGAGAGACACGTGCTGCTGGGAAAGAGACACAAGAGACACACATTGCTGAGTGAGACACCGAGGGACATGCACTGCTGGGAGAGAGACTGTGAGAGACTTGGCTAAGAGACAGTGGGCTGGGAGAGAGAGAGACTGAGCATTCTTCCTGAACTTGAGTTGTAGCTTGGTGCTTCCCTAATAAACCCCATAATCTGTGAGTTCTGTGTGGCCACTGCAGCGAATTATCGAACCCAGGAAGGAGGTGGTGGGTGCTTTGGGAGGAACGGATGGTGAAAGGGCTGGAGGCAGGCAGCATGTCTGGCCTCTCAGTAATGGGCCTTGGGCTATTGATGGTGATTCTGTCCTCCTCTCGTGGGGTTAGAGGGGCTCAGGAGATGTGGCCTCCTTGTCCTTTGTGCAGTGCAACAGAACAAAACACTGCCTGGTCTGCACCAGCCCCACAGTCCTTGCTATACCTGAGCCCATCATCGCAGCCACTGTGTCAATCCATCCCACTGAGGGCCTTCCCCATTAGCTGACCCTCCACTTTTCCAAGCATAATGTCCTTCTCCAGGGAATGGTCCCTTCTGACAACATGACCAAAGTAGGGGAGACGAAGTCTGACCATTCTCGCTTCTAAGGAGACTTCTGGCTGCACTTCTTCCAGGACAGATTTCTTTGTTCTTCTGGTAGACCATGATATTTTTTATATTCTTGCCAACACCACAATTCAAATGCATCAACTCTTCTTCAGGCTTCCTTATTCCCAGCCCCTGTTGTTGTTGTTGTTGTTGTTATGTGCCGTCGAGTCAGATCCGACTCATAGCGACCCCTCCTTGGGTTTCCAAGGCAGTATCTGTCTCTATGGAAGTAGATTGCCCAACCTTCCTTCCGAGGAGTGGCTGGTGGATTTGAACCACCTGCCTTCGAGTTAGCAGTCAAGTGCCACAGGCACTATGCTCCCAGCCCCTAGGCAACGACTAATCTACTTTCTGTCTCTCTGGACTTAGCTGTTCTGGTTTTTTATATAGATGGAATTGTGGTGC